CTCCCTCCCTCCCTCCCTCCCTCTCTCCCTCCCTCCCATAGATTGTTATTGACCACCTCCTATTGACAAGGCTCTATTAGTCCAATATTCTGGGACATTGAGCTCTGTAAAGTGAAAGGCAGAGATGGAGATGGATGGTTGAGGCCAACTCCCAGCCCAGAGTTGTGAGCCATCAAACTAAGCTTGGTTATTATGCTGAGGGTGTGGAAGGCTTTCAGGAAAAGAGGTTCTTAGTCCAGTTTGTGTTTTCAGAAGTTTGAATGGGAGAATAATTAAGGGGTTGGGCACCGAGGCCAGAAGAGGGGTCTGGAGGCCATGTCAGTGCGGAGCTAGTGGCCTGGGCCACTCTGGGTCCTTAACATGGGCAGCTGAAAGAAGTAGGTAGAGCTGAAGGAATTTGATAGATGTTATTGGTGGATATTTGGGAGATGGTGCCTTGGCAAGGGAAAGAGTAGGGTCTCTTGCTGGCAGCTGGGTGGGCATTGGTACTCTCTGTTGGCACATACACCGCCAGGTAGGTTTAAGGACGAGGAGGAGGCCTGGAGAGTTTGAGGAGTATGTGTGACATCCAGGAAGAGCCCCAGGCCCAGGGCTCAGCTTCACAGATGAACCAGACATGACATGATCGTCCTGGGAAAGGCTGCAGACCAGGAGAGGTGATGTACCTTGTCACACCCAGGTCTGGGTCCCAAGGATTGTCACTGAGGGAGGGTAGAAAAGGCTGAGAAGCAAGACTGTGGTGGAGAGGTGGGGGAAGGTGGTGGCTGGAGCTGACATGATATCAGAGCAGCCCTTTGCCTTGGTGTAAAGGCGGGTAGGTGTCAAGTTGTCCTGAGTGCAGGTGGAAAGGTCTGTACTGTGAGGGAGGGTATAAGTGGGTAGGGCCTGTCTAGGCCTGGAGGGGCAGAGGAGTTAGGGTCCAGAGACCAGTCAGAGAATGGCAAGGGGTTTATGGTTATTTAGTGCTTGTTCCTTCCTGTTGGTGTGTGCTTGGTCATGGCCTCTGACCACCATGTGGCCTCTATAGGCAGCATGTGGGTTAGCTGCCCTGAAAGTCAGTCCTTCCTTCCTTCTTTCCTTCTCTCCCTCTCCCCCATCCCCCTTCCTTGTAGAAGTGTTAAAACTAATTAGGCAACAAAACATTTCAGAACTGCGGGTCTTGTATAATTTATATATGCCTCAGGTATATGAGCAGTCTTCTGAATCACTGAAGGTTCAGATGCTTGAAGGGTCAGAAGTGGGTGATGGTACGATGCTGAAAGATCAGCTCTGCTGTGGGTAGTGGGCTAGGTTTAGACACATAAGTTAGGCACAGGAACACATAAGTTTAAAATCAGAAACCTGCAAACAAGGGTCCTGTTTTTCACTCACCAAAGTAGGAAAAGAAAAAGAAAAAGAAAAAGAAAAAGAAAAAAAAAAACCACATCTGCTCAATGCTGAAATGGGTCAAGCAGACTTGCGTGTTTCCGTACCGCTTAAGAAATTAAAAGCCGCAGTGAGAGACACACGTGAGGAGGGTTGCAATATCTTGGTGAAAGCATATGGTAAATATGAAGTGGAAAATGTGAGCTGCAGCCGTCCATCTGGTCTGCTGGGAGTTGTTACACGGATCTCTAGAAAGCCCAAGTTGTGGTGGGTGGCCAGAGGACAGAGAGAACCCAAAAGCATCACATGCTGCCTTCCTGTGACCCACCCTGCAGCAGGTGAAGGACAAAGAGGCAGCTTGCCCCTCTCCCACCCATGTCCCCCTCAGCATGGCTCTGCTGAGGAAGGGTG